ACCCGGACTCGGACACGGCAACATTCCCGTACTGCTCCGAAGAGTACCAATCGGAGCCGTACTACGTGCGGAACTCTACTACGTCGGAGTAGTGATAGTTAATCGTAGTTATTTGCTGTAGAATTCAACAACTTCAACGATCATCTCACTTCAACATACCTATCCGTGTTCTTGTCGATCACCACGACGTCCATGACGAACAAGAGACGTTCCGTTAAACAATCGCACCTCTCGCCATTTTGTCAGCGTCCCAATGTCGAGGGCGCGGCCATTGTTTGGACGCTGGTCTGCCGCTGCAAAATGGCGTCTCAACGGTGTCCAGCGTCATGTACATGGGATATGTGCATTTTTTCGCCGCTTACATTGGTTGTCGGCGCGAAAAAAAAACTTTCTGTGGCAGCGAGCCATGCACTCACATAAATTACTGTGACGGCGAGTACGCACTGGTGTTGCGAGGTGTCTGCACGGTGTGCATTAAGAAGCGAGGAGTTTTATCCGAGAGAGGCTCTCGCCGTCTTTGCCTTTTCATAGTCAGGACATGCGACGGGGAATTGCTGGTCAAGCACTGCTGGAACACAAGCTTACTCCAACCATTCCTAGCCTGGACTGGGCCCATCATGGCATGGCGGGGGATCGGAGCGTTTTGGTGCGTTCAGTGAAAGCCGCCGTGGCAGCCACATTAGACATTTTACCATGTGTTAGTACTCCCTTGTGAGGAACCAGGGGCGTCCTGGGGCATGCATTAATCCTGGGACTCTGGATTACTAGTAACACCTTCTTTGGCAACTAGTCCAGGGTAGACACCTGCCACAGTCCGTGGCAAGTAGTCTAAACCGTTGGAGTAGACACTTACCATGGTACAGCGCCACGAAATGCATAGGGCACAAGAATATCTCCGGCCACTATTGCTAGATGGAAACGGTTTCATGACCAACCACAGCGATGAATGTGCCCTGCACGCTGTACTTCACTTGACGCCTGCGATACTAGGGAGTTAATGGTTTGGTGATACATACCAGTGTCAGGGAGGCTGAAGAGCTGGCGTTATAGTTTGAAATATGAATTTGCTGTATTCGATGTTTCTTGGTACTAGACCAACAAACAAACCTTTCATATAATATACTTAAAAGTATATAAATTGTTTTCAGGGTATATTATATGTAAGGTATCGCAACTGCTTTCATGAAAGAAGTGATCTAATCATTTACAAACGGCTACAGTCGTATTGTGTCTGAAAGGTTCGGGTAACTGTTTGAGTGAATGGAATTTACATCAGTGACTGTTCTTGATTGAAGCAAGTCCAGCATGTAAGAACCATCCATTCACTCGAACACGTTTGCATACACGACCATAACGAATTGTTCGCATTTTTTTTAGTGAATTGAAGCATCCTAGTACGACTCTTGCCGACCGCTTCAGTTCGGGAAGATACCGAAACTGGATAAAGGCGACAATAATATTGGTCACTATTATCATGTGCATCTACTCACAACAACGTCAAACGTGTACCTACTGTATCGACGAATTGTGCTTCGTTGGATCCTTGATGTCTGGCTGGGTTTCTCGTCAGGAAAGCGTACGGCCACCAGCAAGGATTCGGCAATCATCGAATGCACAACACACTACGAATCCTGACAGCGTTGCCACCTCTAAACATCGTGTTAGGATGAATGAATTATTTCAATTCGATCTTCAATGCACGCAAACTCCATGTTGAGACGCCTTGAAGCTGTGGGAGCATCTCCAACAACAGCATTTCCGTAGCAAGGAGCAATTATATAAAAGTCTGCCAAGTTGGGGGTTTCCAGGCTAAAAAACAACATGAATTAGCTCCATGAAAGTCTAGCATGAGCAATCGAGATGCAATGCAACCCCATGGAGGACAATGATATAGCATTTCATTTTATCAACTCTACTTTGTCTAGACCACCAAAATATTAGTTGTCTCGTAATTTTGAGGACCAATTGGTTGAATTGTTTAACAATTTCCGTATCTCGGACTACAAGTTGCAGTACCTCGTTTAACATCACCGTATCTATCGGCTGAAGCTGAGTCGATCTTGTGAGTATGTTGACCGTCTGACTCACCTGTTCTCGCTGCACCTCAAGGTGGAGCTCTTGCTGTACAATTTCATCCGTCCTGGCAGCTCATTCTTGGTTTGGTCGCCTTCTTCATCCAACGAAGATGCCGTTTTACACACTCGAAGATGCCAAGATCAGCTTCAATATCTTCTGCTGCTTTTGCGGTATCGGGTCGTTGTCCATGCCTTCCAACTACGCACGCGCCGGGCCGATCTACGCCACCATCGCTCTGCTGCTGATGGCGTTCGTGAACGTGTACGCGACCGTCGCACTCTCTAAAGTCATGTTGGTGACTCCCAAGTCGGTAAAAACTTTCTCGGATGTCGGTGGCTGGGTGTTTGGCACCACGGGCCGCTACGCCGTCATGATTTCGCAACTGCTAGTGTGTCTCTTGATGCCCTGCGCATTCTTGGTACTCGGTAGTATGCTACTCGACGTGCTGTTCCCGGACGCTTTCAGTCAGATCTTCTGGATGATCTTCATGGCTGTCACGGTCATTCCGGTATGTTTGATCCCGACCCTGAAGGAGGCGTCATCCGTTGCGCTCGTCGGGTGTCTCGGTACGATTATCGCTGACGTCGTCGGTGTGTCCATCTTGGAATGGGAGATGCGGGGTCACCCGTCGATCCCGACGCCTGACGTATCGCTCCACCAAGTGGTGACTGCGTTCGGTAACCTGGCGCTCGCGTACGGTGCAGCTGTGGTGATCCCTGATCTTCAACGCCAGCACTCGCAGCCAGAGCGTATGCCCCGTGTTGTAATGGTCAGCCTAGGAATCGGCACAGCCTTCTTCCTGCTATCGCCATTGCCGGTTACGCTGCTGGTGGGTGTCAGCTTTCGGGCAATCTCCTCTTCTCGGCCGTCAACACGTCGGACCCGTACGCGACGTCGGCTCTGGGTTTCATTCCCAACCGCGGCGCTGTCATCATGGCCTACATGTTCATGCATGTACACATTGTGATCGCGTTCTCGACAATCACCATGCCGGCGTTCTTCATGGCCGAGCGGTTCCTTCTGGGAATGCACAAGGATCAACCGGTTATTGACCAGGAACAAGGTGTTGAGATGCGCGAGAAGCTCTCGTCTGTCGCTGGTGCGTCGCCAGATATCGTATGCAGCTACGATGCTGTCTCGCCCCAGGTCGTTGCTAACTATGAGGACGAGTTCGCCGAGTACCGTGGCAGGCTCAATATGCTCCGTTACATTACTCTTCGCCTATGTATCCTCGCTCTACTTGTAGTGGCGTCGGTCTTCCTTCGGGACAACTTCCTCGACCTTGTCGACTTCACGGGTGCTTCGGCTGTCACGGCGAGTAGTATCGTGCTACCTCTATTGTTCTACCTCAAGATCTTCTGGAACAAACTACCGATATACGAACGCATCGGATCTATGGTGATCATCGTAGTCTGCTCCATTCTGGGTGTGTACGTGATGATCTACGCCGGCAAGAACCTGTTCAACCCGGACTCGGACACGGCAACATTCCCGTACTGCTCCGAAGAGTACCAATCGGAGCCGTACTACGTTCGAAACTCTACCACGGCCAATTAAACTAGTCCTTCCATACCCTTTCAAAAACCATGTCAATGTTTGCGATACAACTCCACCTATAGTAGAATGGAAGCTCAAATCTATTTGTTCATTCACAGCCGAGCCATTTCTCCTCAATCTCGTCACATTCACAACCAGCTTGGATCTCTGCCTTCCTCATGTCAATGACTGTTTGTGAGTGTACACATTTTACACGACCCATATCCTGGTTGAAACAGATCCCAACACCTAGGTATTCAGACGTGCATTCGCGGTAGAGCACACCAAGACAAACATCTTCTGGTGTCCAAATGCTATTGAGTTTGTGGGCAAACGGGCACTTTGCTTGTGCTGGATCGCAAAAATTCGACACGTTGGCTGCAAATCGACTGAGAACTGACAAACTCGTGTTTGTCGGGAGAAGAGTATTCTCATCAGGTATGTTAAGACACGTTGGAGGCAACGGATCATCACTACTGTCATCGCTGTTATCTCGCTCGCAGCAATTTAGAAATGTTGTGTTACAGACACCGCCGTTTAGAAATCCACTACAACAAGCTGCTGAGTCTTGCACAAACACCATTTGCAGTGTATCTCGATACTGTTCAATGTCTGGAAGTGTGCGAACATGGGAAAGACCTTCCAGTGCTAACACTTGGATGGACGGGAGATCTTCCATCGAAGGGACATCTGTGGTCAAGCTAAGGTATCCAAAGTAGGCACTTTCCAACGATCTCAGCCCAACCATCGAAGGCAGAGTTGGTAGATATTTGTGATACGAAAGGTGGATAGTGTGGAGATTTGTCATCGAAGTAAACAGGTCGCTTGGCAACTCGGTGAGGTTAATATCAGAAGTATCACCTTCAATATGACTAATACATGGAAAAATTAGTGATGATATTTCTGACAAGTAAAATCAACGAGCTTACAGATATTCGAGCTTGGAAAATGAGGTAGCTGTCCACGAAGGGAATACTTTGACCCCTGTGTGAATTAATACCCTACAGGTAGATAGATAACGCCATCAGTTTGTAACCTTTGGGTCGGATACGTTTGATAACGTACAAGTTCCGAAGCCCTTTGCAAGATTCAAGTGCGTTTGGAAGCGATCTGTTTATCTTGCGATTCACCAGTTGAACAGTTTGAAGTTTACCGACAGCAGCCAAGGTCGCCAATGTTTGCGTCACGTCCACCAATTCTTGAGTATTTGCAGGCGCCAACTCTCGATCGACGTATGCGAGACAATGACACTGATCGTTTGACTCGCCAAGAATCCACTGGTAACTATATTGAACGCACTGTGGATATGAGGAACACGAAGCACGTGAAACTTGCACTGCGACAGCGGTGTACACGATACATCCAATACCATACACGAGAAACATCAGACCGACTGCCGTTCGAAGTCCAAACCGTAGTAACCGGTTTGATTCTACTGTTTCATCTCTCTTCTCAGGTTGCTGAGCAACAGCACTCAACGTATCCAGAGGCGCCACAGATTTTTCCTTGTTCATTGTGAGCGTAGTGAGAGATTCGCTGGCACTTTTGTGTGAAAGACCTCGTGACAGTTTGCGCTCTCGCTTGAGAAGAACACTTGTGATTCTGGTCCATCGCAGACAGGCGAGTAAGCTAAAACTTAACTTGAGGAAGATATCCCACCCATTTCGAATCAAGAGACTTTCAAAATCTGTGCTGAACAAATTCATCTCTTTGGCGCTAACGTAGTTGCGGGCTTTTCGTTCAAATACCCGTGGAGGGAAGAACTGTTGGCGAATTTTGACGGCTTTGAGGTCATCTTGAAATACGAAAAAGGAGTAGAACAAGATGAGGGCTGGAAAGAATACTGCACATGTTGCGTCGAGACTAGAGACAACAAGAGTGTTAGTTCATCAGTGTTTCTATCTGCTACATAGAAAACTTACATGGAATCTTTCAGAATGTGGTGAAAAGCAGCTTCGTTCCATCGGAATTGCACGTGATAGAAAACAGTGAAAGCATTCAAAGCCATGAGAGAAGCGTAGCAATAGAGTAGTGAAGAGTCCAGTCCTTGAGCCATGTACTCCCGAAGAGAGAGTATCTGCAAAATAACATCTGGAATCTCCATCAGGACATTCTAAAACAAAATAACAGGATAATATGTAAGCATCATTAGCACTCTCACTTATGAATGCATAAGTTCATCTTTCTTACCCACACTTTCCGATATTTGCCATCAGTCGAAATGACGCTCTGGAAGATCTGTAGCACGATACTAGCCACTCTTCGCAGTACCAGAATTAGTGTAGAACAAGATGTTTTATCCTGCTTTAATGGTTTCGTCGACTGTCGCTTGGATTTAGACCTTTCTGAGCGAGTCCTGCGTTGTGGAGGTCGGATAAGTAGTAAGTACAGCAGATACCAGTAAACCCCGACGACTACAATCAGTAGGACTGTAGTCATTGCTTGAATGGATAATGGTGCCTTGCGAGACTGCCAAAAGTGTCCGTAGTCCAAGCTTTCACTCTGCAAAATGTAATTTGCGCTTCTATCCGGCTCGAGGTTTAGCACGATCAAGAGCAAACTCCACGCGCTCGACAGCGAGAAGATGACAATCATAAGAGCGACGTAACCCCAGCCGATGGCAGCAAAGCGACGCTGTCTCCATCTCCACCACGATTGATTTGCGGGTTCAACGTTTGCTGGACGTCTCTTTGAGTCTTGCTTTGCTAGTGCAGAATTCTCCGTCGTGGGGCCTTGGACCACTTTCCATCCTCGAGAAAAGAGCTGCGCCATGGAACTGCGATAACCAAATGCAGTGCCGGTAAGAGCAATCGCACATTTCTAAATACAAACTACATCCGTCAAGCAAAATTAGTCCCGAACGTTAACTATAATTCTCTTGACGTTTTTTTACGATACGTTTTCATTTTTCTATCGTTGCATTTTTAACACAAAGTGTCGAGAATGTTTCAAGTAACATGATTCATTGCGTTCTTGTTATTAATACTACAGCAACACTCAAACTTACGTATATTTGCCTAATTGTTTATGGTAAAGATAAATTAAAGAGATAACTTTAGTATGTGCATCCACCGCCAGTCGTGCATCCGTCCTTCTTCGGCTTAGCTCTCCCCGAGGAAGTCAAGCTGTGAGCAGGACGCCACCATCTCCTCAAGCGAGTTCGTGCTCCACATCTGCGGCCACGCTGCATCAGTGACAGGCTCGTTATACTCCGCGAAGATCTCCATGAGATCGCTATCGCTTTTGCCATTCAGCCATGTAGCACCAGCGTCTAGTGCCAATGAGAACAGCGACTCGTCGGCCACAACAGGCGCGAACGGATCAATATTGACAGCCTCATCCGCCGAGCGGGGCGAGTCAGACTGCTGTTTCGTCAGCGTCGGCGGCGGCGCTTCGAATACTGAAAAGTCTGTCGCCTCGACCATTGCAACGTCGATCTGAGGCTGCAGACTCGCTACTGTATCAGCCACTACGGCCCGCTGAGTAGCCTTCTTGGCCTTGTTCTTCTTGCGCAAGCCGCGTTGCTGTCGCTCGTGCTTTTGACGGTATTTCTGCGCATGCGTCATAGTCTGACGCGAGTCTTTGGTGCCCACGAAGTCTGCGATGGCCTTCCAGGGCCCGGACGGGAACTTTTCCAGTGCTACGAGGAAACGCTCGTGCTCGTCGCATGTCCAGGCTTTGCCTTTGTTGCGCTCGGCGGCAGAGCGCGCCTTGGTCTTGCTGGGCTGTACAGTTGAGCTCTTACGCAGCGTCTGCAGCAGCTTCGTGTCTGCGGGTGCCACCGCCTGGACAAGTTCGTTCTGTACGCGCTTGGTGATCGTCATGGCGAGTTCCTGTGAGTGCGTCCTAGACGGCAAAATGAGAAGTGCCGCCTACTGCTGGAAGTTGCCGCACGACGGAACAAGACCATCACTCATATGTATCATTGAAGTGTTCGCCAATCGCTGATTTTAGTTGCTATTTCCACCAATCACTGATGCCCAACTGTTTGGCGCTAACCACGTGGTTACAGACGTCGCTGGCGCCAAGCATGTTGCTACGCATGCCAGTGCTGCCACAAGTATCCGGCAGGAAGACTCGAGGTGTCTGCCATCTAATCGCATCGCTTGGAGGAGTCCATTATATCGCAGGTTGAAACACCGCTTGTTGGGAGGAGATTTGACATCGACTAAAAGGATAACTTAATCCTGTCGAACGATTAATCAAGATAGTTCGGTCAAGAGCGGGTGTAATTAAAAGTTTGAGGCCTGGCAACTTTGACTCTGCTGTCTTACACGGTATTGACGATATACGACACCTGGAGTCAAAGGTTTGCAAGACTGCTTGTTGGTAGAAGAATTCCATACAAAAAAAGTAAAGTTTATTTTAAAAAAAAGATTTACTAGTAGTACTTTTTTTTAATTTAGGCATTTCATCAAATATCGAAACATTCTCACAGTATTTTTTTTTTTACTATTATTTTCATTCTTGATAGACATCTGAGAAGATTAAGCTCGTTGAGCTGCTTCAGAGGTTGCTACTTAGATGGCCCCAGGTTATCTTGGCTGAATGGGTACTTTTCGTTGACTTGAGGTTGAGTCGGTGCGTCAACTTCGGCCTCACTGTTCACGTCGAAAACCTCACGGCGATCATTTCCATCGTTCACTGCCGTCTTGGACGTATTTTGTTTGTTGGCCTTGTAACAACTGAAGGTGTTTCCCATGCCTAATATGCTCGATGTATTTGATGAGGCTAACGAGAATCCGAAAGTGAGAATCCCCACCAAGCTCCGATAGTGACCTACCTGGTCATCAATCTGGTCAGAGAATCATAAATCGGTTTATTTCATGTTATCGTGTGCTCTGATGGGAACAATCTCCAGCACTCCTTTCTCCATCGGTTTGTTCTTGATGAGAAGAGATGACCCGTAGATACTTTTGCGTAGTCGAGTAAGTGGGTATACAACCGTATTTCGCTGAATCAAGGTGCAGGGATCCGTGACGGACGAGCAGCCCAATTGACTTCCGTCTCCAAGAACGACACCCATCTTCTTCCTACCCGTATCATACGTGATACCATCCACATCGATAGTCAAATTCGAACCAGGGAATAAACTCAAGTTCGCAGTCGTAACTTGATTGCCAAAATGGCTTTTAAAGCCACAGATACTGTCACCACAATATCCTGGATGGCACAGCTCGGCATCATCGAGAATCACCGAGTTCTTCACTTCTCCTCTCAGCACCACGTTCCGGCCAACAATTACATCTCCGCGAATGTACGTCCCGCTTCTCAGTGTGCTTCTGGCTCCAATAATTGCGGGTCCCTTAATAAACACATTCGGCTCGATTCGCACGTGTTTGCCGATGTGAATCGACCCCTCCGAGAGATCAAACGTGCCTCCCAGCACATGTGCGTCTGGCAGAACTATCAACCTCCTCTTCTCCACTTCCTCCTCTTCTTCTTGTGATACCGACGATCTTGACCACCCATATGACGCGCGTCTTGTTGATCCTGTGCTCTCAATTGAAGGACGTCTCGCATGCCTTCCCACACCCTCCTCAAGGTTGATTACCTTCTCTGGGGCGAATGTTTGCGCTCTAACTCCTGGATAGATGACAATTTCCGCCGTCTCGTTAGGATCGATCCACTCTGGCATGCGCCAGCGTGTTTTGATGCGTGGATATGACGAGCGAGGGTCGTCGCTGTCCTCAGAGTCGGACTCTTCCTCGGCAAACCCTCGTCCGTCGCTGTCGAGTCTAGTGGAGCTCTGCAACGTCGTGATCTGCGTATTCTCCACGGTCGATACGGATACCCACGCATTATTCGCGAAGAACTTATCGAGGTACGGGTGAATAGCGTCTAGGACTGCCAGCACATTACCGCAGCCATCGAAGAGGCGCGCATGGTCGAAGTCCTTCAGCTTGTCAGGAGAGAAGTACGCATCCAATTGCAGTGCAAAAGGTACTGTCGAGCCCTCCAGCGTCTGTAGATCCAGAATCTGCTTGCTGTTCATCGAGGTGTTGACTGGAAGAGCAGGAATCGACTCTTTCTCCTTATCGGCGACTTGCTCGCTCTCCTTCGAATTGGATTTCTGGCTCGCAGGAGCCGATTTTGAAGAAGAAACCGGTGAGTGAAGGTAGAGATGGATCATAAGCGTTGTTACCGCTGACGTAGCCATACAACAAAGCAGCAGACCCGCCGCTAGCACCGACGGTGGCTGCCCTCCTCCCGTCGCCATGATCTAATTATTGCCTGCCGATCTTCCAGCAGCAGTTCAAGGTACCATATATGTGGTACATGTATGTGTCAGACATAAAAGGGTTTGACTTAATTTCTGTATGCCCTCCCATTATCCGATCCGAGCGAGAGAAAGAGGGGATGGATTCGGTGCGCGCCAAGCACGCGGCGGAGCTGGAGGCCAAGCGCAAGAAGCTGGAGGAGATCCGCAAGCGCAAGGCTGCAGTTCGAGCGGCTGAGGAGTCCTCCGCCGCGTCGGAGAGCGTAAACCAGGCCATCGGCCAGCAGGAGAACAAGTTTGACGACTTTATCCAGAATATCCTCAAGACGTCGGAGAAGGAGGAGCGACTCAAGGAGGACGAGGACAAGAGTAAGGAGGATAATGCAGTGACCAACACTCTGTCATTGGCTGAGAAGTTGTCGTCTCTCTCCACTGTAACAAGCGTGGCCGAGATGCACATCCAGCCGACGCTCGTGGAGACTTACACTAAGCACACAGAGACGGACATTACACTAGAGCACGAGATCTTCGTGAAGGACGACGGCGCGACAGACATGGAAGTGGACGATATGGGTGGACGCTCGTCTCCTAGACGTCCAGCAAGTGTGGACGGATCGTCCTCCCCACGTAATCGCAACTTGACGGTGGACACGGAAATGCCCATTTCAACCACGGAAACGTCCACAACGACACTATCAGTAGAAGACAAGACCAGTTTAATGCAGTCTGATGCGATGGAGGCCTTTTTAACCAAGGCTTCGAGGGTTATCGAGCGTGCATTGAACACTTCGAGCAAGTATGACATTATGATTGACTACGGAGCCGACGTGGAGCAGGACAGCGCAGTGGAGGAAGCCACGGAGTCCTTGAAGCAGCAGTATGTCTTTGCAGACAGTCAGTGGTCCAAACACCGCGCAGTCACAGATGTGGACGTCTCCCCGTTCTACCCGGAGCTCACTCTGGTGGCGTACACTGCTCGGAACTTCTTGGAGGACGAAGACAAGGACGACGGCATGTCGTCGCAGTGGGATACGATGGGGAACTCCGCCACAGCGGCACTGACTGAAGTGGCAGCAATCACGGAAGGAGTGGTGCTCTTGTGGTCCACAGCTCTGCCCGGTCGACCAGAATACCGGTTTACGTGCCACTCACAAGTAACCAGTGCGTGCTTCAACCCGTTCGACCGTCATATTATCATCGGCGGCACGTATTCCGGTCAGATTGTGGTCTGGGACACTCGCGCCAAGAGCGCTCCAGTGCAGAAGACGGCGTTGTCGGCGTTTAGCCACACACACCCGATCTACGCGATGGCTGTTGCAGGCACCAAGACGTCGTACACGTACGTTAGTCCGCTTGTTTTGCGTGCGTTTGGAGGTGTATACTAACGGGATTTTGTGGCTGTTGTAGACTGATCTCTGCCAGTACCGACGGTCGAGTGTGCGTATGGGATCTCGATCATCTGCAAAAGCCTCTGGACATGCTGGATCTGCGCATCTCGCTGTCTATCGTGTCAAACTACACATCCGTCAACACCTCGGACAAGAAGATGGAAGCCTCGGTCACTTCTTTTGCAGTGTTGGGCAAGGAGATCAAGGAGCTGTTTATCGGCACGGAAGCTGGTAAGCTGTACTCGACGAAGATTGACCAACAGAAAAACAAACCTGGCGCTGGCGACGACAGCAGCAGTATGGATACCGACAAGAAGAACAGGAACAGTCTACTCGGTAGCAGTACTGGAGACCTGGTCCGTGAGGTGATTGTCGAGGCAGTCTCTAAGGACGGCTCGCACTTTGGTCCAGTTACGGCCATGCACTTCAACCCACTGCTGCCAGCACACCGCGATAGTCTGCTGCTCACGTGTTCTCTGGATTCGACGGTCAAACTGTGGAGTCTCGAACACCCTGAGTTCCCTGTGCTCTCGTTCGAGCCGTCGAGCGAATACATTAGCGACGTACGATGGTCCCCCCTGCACCCGGCACTGTTTGCTGTTGCAGATAGCAGCGGCAGTGTGAGTATCTGGAACATCCTGAGAGATGTCGAGGTGTCTGTAGTCTCAGAGAAGATCAGTGACAAGTCATTGAACAAGATCCGATGGAGCGCCGACGGCAAGAGCGTGATCACTGGCGATGCAGATGGCAAGTCGTACATCTACGAGGTGCCCTCCGATGTAAGTTCCCACCATTTGTCAGAGTTCTTGTGCTTTCTTGCTCACGTTTTGTGTTGAAATTGTAGATTGCACTGCCCCAACCGGACGACTTGTCGCTTCTGGAGAGCAAAGTGGCAACTTCTATCGCGGCGACAGCACTATCCAAGCCGTAAAACACACCTTCACAGTAGACGCGTACATCAAAAAGCCGACGCTATCGGCTTGAAAAATGAATGTGGAGTCCATCGTTTTAAGTTCGCCGGCTTATTTTACTTACTACTGTTGGCTGCTGCGTCAAGTGTGAAGCAATATAATCTCTCACAGCTTGGTGCTAAACTCAAGTGGAAACACTTGCGAGTTGTTGAACTTGCGACACCATCTCTCAAACGCCTCACGAACAGGTGAAACCTACAGAACACAATTGAGAATGCGGCGGGGTTATCTAGTAGATAGACTTACCAGGTGTGGCTCTTTGACGAAGACTCGAATGGAGTATTCCTCAAACTTCCGCGGACTGAACATTTCGTACGCGCATTCGGGCAAGCGGAAGCACCTGGAGCTTGCGGTTGCATTCTTCGAGTAGAACCTGACATGTTGTACGGGGTCTGCCTTCCCTTTTCCATAATGAACGCGCATGAATTCCAGTATAACTGCGTCCTTCTCGGTGATCAGCGATCGATTTGTGGAGCACCGCAGCACTTCATTCAGCAGCATATCCTCCGTTTTCTGTTGCGAGTGCGCCGTTAATGCTGTCTTGCCGACGTAATTGTAGTACGGCTTTGAGAAGATTCGATTTAGTATCGATCTCGCCTCTTCTAGTTCAGGGCTGTCGCTTTCTTGGATTTTCAGCAGCACACGGTCGTCAAAATGCTGGTAAGCCTCCATGCAACACATGATCTCGGAGATCCGTTTTCCTTTGATCGTCACGTGGTCGTTGGCTGAGATCATCAAGTCACAGAGCATGTAATCAATAGCACGGACTCCTCGGTGTTGGTACACGGACTGATGAAGCTCGTAACGTGCCCGAAAGGCTTGCATAATTTGCCCAGCTAGCTTCTCGGGAAAGCAAACCACCATGTTTTCTTCAGGATCGTCACGGTCTACCAGCACACGAGCGTTACGAATAAGTAGGTCGGTATCACACGACATTTTAGCCCCCGTGTGGAGCGAGTCTCGCATGAAATAGTCCAGTTTGTCCACGTCTAGTCCACTTTTCGCGTTATTCACGATGTCGTACAGGAATCGCTGGTCACGAGACGGTCGTCCGCGCAGAATCCCGCTGGAATCTGGCAAAGGTCCGCCCCAAATGAGTTCTTTGATGAATACGACGTCTTGTTGGGTCAGTCCGTAGTCCTCGACTGAAATTTTGCTCTCCGTCAGTAAATAAGCGAACATATCCACTGATCCCTGCTCGTGCGACCACTTGAACGTCATTGGAATGAGCTTTTTCTTTCGTAGTTGTTCGAGGAAGAGACCGTCGAATACATGACTGAACGGTCCATGGCCCAGATCATGGCACAGCGCAGCGATCTTAATGCAAGTGACGTCCTCCTTTGTAATCGGCAGCCAGGGCTGGTGCGAACGAATGCTCTCAATCATCTTCTCAGCCAGATACGCCACGCCAAGACAGTGCTCGAACCGGGAGTGAGTTGCTCCAATGTACACAAAGTTCGCAGCGCCAAGTTGGTGCAAACTTCGAAGTCTCTGGAACTATCAGGCACAAAGGTAAATGCACATGCGAGAATAACAAACACTCCCCTTTATTTGGGGGTCGTACCTGGAGTGTATCGATGATCCTCATGCAGATCGGCTCGAACGTCATCAGTCCATGTACACTGTCCTTAATCTGCAGTAACAGGTATCCACAGGCCAATATCAATACATGGAGAACTGCAGTAATAATACTAGCTCCGCCTACTTCTTTTCTCTCGTTGAGCTTCAACTTGCCTCTCGGCGTTTCCTGCGCCTTTTGCTCCAGCTCCTCCATCGCGACTGCAGCTGTCGCTCTCTTCCTAGTCTCTAAAGCCACTAAATCGTCAGCATCGCAGACGCTCTGCCCCTCAGCACTCAGTGCATCCTCTTGAGAAGACAACAAGTCCGCATCCGTCAAGGTACCGGTTTCTACGTCGACACTTGGCGAGCCTCTGAGCTGTTTCCTTCGAGACACGGAGATATCGCTCTCCACCAGCGTCTGTACCCTCTGGCGCTTGGCTGGTGGCTGGCGCTGCCGACCGAAGGCCGACCACAGCGTGTCCTGCTTCTTGTTCATGGCGACGTCCTGCGCGGAAGGCGGAATGTGTTGAAGTTGCCAATTCAATTGGATGAAATGTTTCCTTTCGTACTTAGTGTGTCGATAAAACAATCACTCTTCATTTGATGTGCCAGGTATTTTTAGACCTTGGTCACTTTTTAAGCCTCCAATAGTAATTAGTGATCAGAAATCAATGCAAAAAGTAACTACAGGTTGACGACAGTCTCTATTACAGCAATGCCAGTCGAAACTCGACTTGTCCGCTTGACCACAGCCTGTACAGATTCAGGCCTTACACACACATTACATGATCCTGCACGTGAGCTCATTGCTTCTGGGAAAGGTGCATAGAGCATTGGCTGGGTATGAAGGTCGACCAGACCATTATCGAGAAGTACCAAGACTACTTTTCGGCCAGAGACACCGCCAATTGCAGCGAAGCTCAAAATGCATCCCATTCGCAGGCATGGCAAATTTGATACCGGTCGATGGCCGCATTTGGTGGGCACTGTGTTGGTTGCTTGTGTGCTCTGTAGCAGCACTAGCTAGGCGCTTGATGTGTGCTCGGCGTGGTAGATTGAATTTAGTTGTTATGTAAGCCTGTTTGGCATGTACAAATATGCATTCTCCTCTGTAGGAGTTTCCTAACTGCTCGTCCTTCCTGCGTACTCCGTTGTTGCTCTCCTTCGCATTCTTCTGGAGACGCTCGTCGTCCCATTCTTACTGCGACGTTTCAAGACCTCCTCCCAATCTCCTTCGAGTTCCGACACACTGTGCAGCATAGGTCAAGTTTTCCCATGGCAACCCCGCAACCAAGTCGTCCACGAAGGCAAACAGTGGAGAAAGGTTAAGCAATTGGAATACATGTGGGCGAGATGTCTCTAGCAATTGGGAGCGGTGGCACGCAGGAGTCACTGCGTCCCCAAACCAGGATTCGCGAACTATTGCTACTGCTTTGTACCGACGGCTTCGCCAGGATGTGCACCGACTCAGCAAGCTCAGCTTCACTGGAGGTTCCAGGTCCAGCGCAGTGGCGGAAGCAGAAGGATTATTAATAGCACCCGTTAAATAGACTACCTTCTATTATTTATTGCCTATAATAATTATTAATTGCCAATAATAATTTAAATAAGTGAATTCACATGTACAGACAATCCCCTCGGTAATC